TAGGGTCAAGTCAGAAATGGCAGAGATGGTTCATCCCGACGATGAACGGCACTGTGCACAAAGAAGTTCGTCTATGAACCGTTTGCGAAAGATTAGCAAGGCCGTAGGGCTTGGAAATATTTTGGGCACCAGCCAGAGCCGTTGCGCGTCTACAGGTATCTTGTTTATTGTCTGCAGTTTGTTTTCCTTTTATTTAAGTTAAATTTTTTTATGTCAGTGGTCCCTCCGACAAGAAGTCATAGTTCGCTATTTGGGAAGTCTTCGGTTAGTTCCAGCATGCGCTCATGGAGGTCGAAGAAGAGCAGAACGGATAGCGTGGGCGAACAGTACAATAACGGCTTCGTGCCGGAAGATTTGGACATCGCGGAGAAGGAAAAGGGTTATTAAATATAAATTTGCAAACTGTTTAATAGAAGTTATGTTTTTTAAAGTCTGTTACCACCTTTTTCTCACGGTATAGTCGAAGTTTTTCGGTGGAATGGCTTTGTCAGTCCAGCTCTTCTGCATAATCGATCGTTTTGTCATTCATTTAAGACATTCTTAAGTGCACAACTGCTACAGTCAGTAGTATTGACCGGTGCTTGAATTTAGCACACGATCTTTTGCGTTGTCGCAGTTCACCTTCCATCTGTATTTGTTGAGATCATCTGAGGAGCCGTTTGCATAAACAGAACTTCTCTTGTATGTAGTGTCCGCTGCATTCAATACTTTTACTATATAACATTGGTTGCAGTATCATACAAATTGCCACTTCCAAAAGCAGATCTGCCTCTACTTTGTGCCTTCATGTTGCATACTGGCCTTGGTGGTTGACTTCTGCCATGTTCGGATCAACGGATTGAGAATCTCATTGACTGGATTAAATGCTCGACTAGTTTGTATAGCAGGAGCAATGTTCTTAATATCTGCAAGTGCAGAGGTTGCCTGTGTCCGGAAGAGAGTAGAGTAATTTCTTACGTGGTCCTTTCATTCTCCGCCATCGTACGTCAGCATTAGCGTTGTTCTGAGCAGATAGTTCACCTGTAGTTCTTGGTTCTTCGTTGGAACAACTGTCTTCGTGCTATACAGCAACATCTGTTTCAGGCAAGGTATAGACAGATTTTGTGGAAAAAGTCATTCCTTACTCGGACCACATACTGGACAGTGCAAAGCAAAAGCACTGGAGGTTAGGGCGATCCTTGTATTTAACCCTGTTTGAATATGTTGTCGCTAGACACGATTGAGCAGAGGTACTTTGCGTAATTAAATTTCTTGAACCGCTTTACTTCCCCTTCCCCGTGAAGATTAGTTATACCGACTAGATTCCTCATAGCTTTTGAATTCCTGACGTTGGGAAGAAGCAGGATTTCATAGATGTATTGCAAAAGGAAGCCATCGCGTGAAAGTGACCTCTGGCCAATATCATCTGCTTCGTCCAGGTCAGTAAGATATTTAGTCGGATATCTTGAACTGCACTTTCCTCCTAAAACGAGACCTTCGTTTTTGTCAGGTTTAAAACTGTTTCAGAGAAGAAAGTCGAAAAAAGACGAAACCTTTCCGTAACCGATATGTGTATTTATGTAGAGCACGTTTAGCTGAAGTAGTTAAGAGTAATTCTCTCCTTTAATGCGAAATAGAAGATTATCATGGAATGAGGTAAAAAATTTTCGAATAGTTCAGCGAATCAGCTGTAATTTAGAATGGTGTTTTATTCAAAAGAACTCGCAGGATTTTCTTTTAAACTGAAAATTATCCGTTATGGATAATTTGATTCGCAATAATATTACTACTAACAATAACGTCCTTCTTGTCTTCGTAAGCAAGGAGGAAGCGATCTTCATTGTGTCGAACTTGATTGAATTGAAAAAATGTCCCATAGGCAATATCTGGTTCAGATAGTGAACGATATGACGCAGAAGGTCGAAAGAACAAACGGCCTTTTCCAACGATAGCTGATAACATCCAGCTATCGCCAGGACAATGTCGATGTGGCGCGATACGATTTAAAAAGCAACTTCATGGCAAGTGTCATACATATGCTGCAGATCTTTAGCTTTGGATCAAAAATTGGGCTAATTCTGAAATTCTGAATTCTGCGTCCTCGTAATTGTCGTCAAAAAAAATTGAGAGTAGAAATTCGTAAAACGCAAAAATCCTTCACATCCAGCTAGAAACAGTGCTGGACGTGATTATGACCATAATAGTTTTCGGTTGTCAATTTGTTTGCCAATGTCATATACAAAAAAAGGTGGGCACACCACACAGTGTCGCAAGGATGATCCACTTAACATTTGTTCAAACATGCCAGTGACAAAGTACTGTCGTAAATGACAGTCGAACGAAATGAAAAAGGCAGAAGAAGTATCCGTACTCCGGAACTTCCAGTGCGAACCGGGAGGTATCGCCTCATCGTCTGAATATCGTGTTGGTACATAATGTGAAAATATGGGCAAATTTTCGATGTAGCATGCAAGACTGACGGTAACGTTATTGTTAAGTTGCGAAGAAAGATACGGAAATATCAAGAATTGAGGATGGAGGATAACGGCGGAAGTAGTTCGTATGATGAATGGCATCATTACAGTAATGGATGATGATTCGAAATATCTATTATTAATAGGCGAGGAAACGATAAGGTTCAAAGAACTGCAGTGGGCGATGCTTCTAATGACAGCCCGGATGATTAGCATATATGCTATGCCTTCGATGACACTGCTATACATGAATTGAAATTTACTAAGTGTCAGTTAGGGGTCAGTGGCTTAGAAACGGCGAATTATCTACAGACAAGTCTTTGTCGACAAGTTTATTCTCGATGGTGAATACGGCATAATCGTCATTATTCATACTTTTTATTATAAATATGATTCATTCGTTAAGTTCTGTGTTTCCGACGTCATGAACATAGTTTGTAACTAAGTAGCAGTGATTCTCTGTGACTGAATGAATTCCACTACATGCTGGCATCGTGTTAGTTAATTTCAGTTACTGAATTCTTTTAGCTTGAATATTAATTACGTACTATACAGCATTCTGTAACTGTGACAAGTAATGTCACAAAGTCTGGCATCGTTTTTCCATATGTTTCTCTTTTCCTTTCGGACATTTGCCTGCTTTTCACAGTCGTACGTTGACTGTTAAATAAATTGGTTGTTTTGTTCTTTTATAGGTATTTGATTGTCATCATTCTGTTTTAGACGTTTTGTCATTTTTTCGTATGATTGTTGCTTTATTTTGTTCATTGCCGCCGGTCATTAAAGTTTCACAATTGATTTAGATCACGTCAATGATGCAGCCATCGCGTCGATAGAGGTGCCAAAAGAAAGCATAGCAAGTCGTTGTTTAGAGACGATCACGGAGATTGACGGGGCGTCAGAAGACACGCTTCATAAAAATAATGTTATTCTTCGTATACCTGGTAACGAATTACTTTAAACCGTTACACTGTTATAATGCATTAAAATTATAGTACCTTACGCATGGACTGAACATGGTGGAGAAGAATCGACAGGTAGAACGCAGATGAGAAGTTCGGAAATTCGTTAGATTATGCGAGACAATAAATCTGTCTAAAATCATTGCGTCAAAAATCATCAGTGTAGAGTCTTTTAAGAGTAGTCTTGTATCTTATTGTCGATACAAAAGCAGTGAATCTGGAGGAGAATTCACTGCAGTCCTAAGGTTTTACTTTGGCTTCACTTACTTAGTTGATCTTACTCAGGGGGCAGTTGCATGCGATCATTGTTTTTTGCAACGGTTTTGTGTGCATCGGGCAGCATACCCATAATGCTCATTTCGTTATGCCTTACCAGACCACCATACGATTTTGAACTTTTATATAACATGTATGCGTCACTAGCCCAAAAACTGCACACTGGCTACTTATATGATATTAAACATGGATTTAAACTGAATGGAAATTGCATTCTAACCCTACTACACAATATAACTTAAACGTAAGAAATGAAGCAGCCACGATGGTTTATTTGAATGAAATATAATCAAGAGTTGCATGTCTTAAAAGTTCTGCTTTGCTTTGTGGCGAAGGTCGAAGTAGAAGCAGTTGTGCCTCTGCAGTGACT